CACTTTCAAGTTTCAGCATCACATGGATTATTTTTGAGAAGTTGAAAATAGAGATAATTGCCTTGAACTTGAAGGTTTTCCCAATTTAAAATAAGTTGGTACATTTTTCTCAATTTACAGTAAACTGGAAGGCATATGTATTAGATTGGATTGTTAATATTTCATACACCTGCATTAGTTAACCACTGTTCCCCTAGGAGGGAAGACCCATATAGGTCTCCAAAGTGTAATTCCAGAACTAAATGACCCATCACTCAGATCACTCTTCATGAATAAATGTGTAAGCAACTTTCTCATATACTTACTTTAGCAGTAAAATACATGAACAAATAGCTCATTCCATTAATATTTACTGAGTACCTTCTATATGCATGGTACTGTGTTACACTTAGGGGATAAAAAGATACATCAGACTTAAATTCTGCACTCAAATAGCCATCAGTTTAATGGGGAAAATTAGACCTGTTCATAAAATATATAAGGCCCTAATAATAGGAACAGATAAAGGACCCTGGGACTTAAGAATTTATATATCCCTAGGGAATGTGGATGGCTCAGTCAGAGGAGCATGCAGCTCTTGATCTCGGGGTTGTGGGTTCAAGCCCCATGTTGAGTGTAGAGATTACTTAAGACATATGTAAAATACTGGGGCACCTAGATGGCTCAGTTGGTTGAGCTATCGAGTCTTGATTTTGGCTCAGGTCATGATCCCAGAGTTGTGGGATTGAGCTTCACACTCAGTGCTGAGCCAGCTTAAGAGTCTCCCTCTCCCTCTGCTCCTCCCACACTCAGTCGTTCTCCCTCAGAAATAAAAATTTAAAAAAATATATTAAAAAGGAAAGAATTTATATATCCTGAATCAAAAATTGTTTTTGATCTGACCAAATTAAAAGCGATTAACTATAGAGTTTGAAAACCAACAAACAGAAACAAATAAAACCCCCCGCCACATGATCATGATAGCACATTTAAAAACATGACTAGTTTATTGAATACTGTAAACTTGGTGGGCTACAAATATAAGTGATTTTATTTTCTCCAATACTTCTGTGTCATGATGAATTCCTTATCTACATTGCTTATCAACACCTTGTTCCTATCCCATATTTTCCAGTCACTTTCCATTATTCAACATTCTGCATGGCCCAGGGTGAAGCATTGGTCTCATTTTCAATTCCATAAATATCTCCTTCTCTTCCTTCAGCACCATACAGGTTTAGGCCCTAAAGACTCCTCCCCTACCCCAGTAGGGAGTAGAGATAGGATGGGAGGGACATGATTTGCCTCTGGGTCACCACCTCTCCTTCCCTTTCTTGGGTTTCTGACTGGTTTCTCAGGTGTATTGGGTGAGCCACGAGAAGATGTAGGAGAAATTGCATTCTTAAATATGTTCTGTTGGGAGGGCAGCCCAGTCTGGCAGTGGCTCGGTCTGGTTCTCTCCACTGCCAGTCACTTCCTTTCAGGGGGCAGTTTCTCTAGAGATGGTGGGTATTGTTTTCTTGGGGAGGTGTTTGGCTTCGAAGGAAAGGGGCATCTTTTTTTTTTTTAACGTTTATTCATTTTTGAGAGACAGAGACAGAGTGCAAGTGGGGGAGGGGCAGAGAGAGAGGGAGACACAGAATCCCAAGCAGGCTCCAGGCTCTGAGCTGTCAGCACAGACCTGTCTCATGGACCGTGAGATCATGACCTGAGCTGAAGTCGGATGCTTTACCGACTGAGCCACCCAGGTGCCCCCAAGAAAGGGGCATCTTTGGGCTCCTTTGGGAGCTGTGGTGCCAACCTCTTTTGCTAGTGGGGAATCTGGCAGCTTCACAGCTCATGTCTCCACCTGTGTGCTCTTTTTTTTCCTTCAAATTTTTAAATCCTGATTAGTTAGGATATAGTGTAATACTGGTTTCAGGAGTAGAATTTAGTGATTGATCACTTATGTATAACACCCAGTGCTCAACATAACAAGTGCCCTCCTTAATACCCATCATCCTTTTTAGCCCATCCCCCCACCCACCTCCCTCCATCAATCCTCAGTTTATTCTCTGTAGTTAAGAGTCTCTTATGGTTAGATTCTATGTTTTTAAATAGGTACAGTATTACTTATTACTAGTACTTTCACTGTGTCTCATAGGAATACACCCAGTTTGTTGTTTTTCCCTTTTTTCTCTCTTTTTATTTCTGTCTGGGTATTCTCTACCAATTTATCTCCAGTTCAGTGAGAGATAATCAACAAGTAATTTTATAGTTCTAAGAGTTTTTGTTTGATTTTTGTAAAAATACCTTCTAGTTCTATTGTCACCCATGTGCTTTATCACATATCACTCCTGGAAACCTCTACTGCGGTTCTCTGTGCCTCTTGAGGGTGCGTGAGGACTGAGTGTCAGGTTGCTGGCCATCTTCATCTCAGTCACACTATGTCTGTCTTTGCTTTGTGGGAACCAGTGCTATGGCATGCCTCCTTGCTTTGGAAATGTGTAGTCCAGAAGTAGGCCAGAGTGTCTGAGTTCATGTATGCCCCCAAATACATCACGCTCCCTCAAGAAGTCATTGTTTCACTCCAGTGGTAAGATCAGCATGAATCCATAGATTCTACTGCCCCAGAAACACCCAGATGATAACTTCCTTTCCGAGGCAAGTGATTCTCAGGGAATTCCTTTTCACTTGGCTTCAGGGTTCAGAAACCCCATTCACCTTGAATAATTCAGTCCTAATAACCTGGGCCGTCTCTTTATTTCTTTTCCTTTCTCTTGACTGTCTATTTGACTTAGATAAAATAGTGATGGGGTGAATGTTGAATGTCAGAACCAGCTCAGCTTCTGTTTAATCAACCCTGAGCTCGTGTTTGGGTTTATTGTTTTTGATCTGCTTCGGACGTTTTATTTAATTAATACGTTTGTTCTAAATTTTGGATCCTGATTGTTAATTTTAGGGCAAAGGAAAATAAATCTTCATCAACATCATGTTACATAGACATGTTACATAGAAATGTCATCTAAGTTTCCATACCTAACTGTGGATGTGTCTGTTATAAAAATTTCTTTTTTAATCTTCGTCATTTTATATATAATGCTTATTCAACTTTTGGTGTTGATATATGTATGTATGTATGTATGTATGTATGTATTTTCGTCTTTTCTGCCCTCAGAGAGTCCCCCTTAAAATTTCTTGCAGGGCTGGTTTAGTGGTCACGAACTCCTTTAAGTTTTGTCTGGGAAACATTTAATCTCTCCTATTTTGAATGACAGCCTTGCTGGATAAAGAATTCTTGATTGCATATTTTTCTGATTCAGCACATTGAATATATCCTGCCACTCCTTTCTGGCCTGCCAAGTTTCTGTGGATAGGTCTGCTGCAAACCTGATCTGTCTTCCCTTGTAGGTTCAGGACTTTTTATCCCTTGCTGCTTTCATGATTCTCTCCTTGCCTGAGTATTTTGTGAATTTGACTATGATATGCCTTGTTGGTGGTCGGTTTTTGTTGAATCTAATGGGAGTCCTCTGTGCAATGCTTATTCAATTTTTTATCCTGACTTTTTCCAATTAAAATTATTATAGGGACACCTGGGGGGCTCAGTCGGTCAAGTGTCAGACTTTGGCTCAGGTCATGATCTCACGGTCTGTGAGTTCAAGCTCCAAGTCGGGCTCTGTGCTGTCAGTTCAGAGCCTGGAGCCTGCTTCAGATTCTGTGTCATGCTTCTCTCTGCCCTTACCCCACTCATGCTCTGTCTCTGTCTCTGTCTCTCAAAAAATGAATAAATGTTAAAAAAAAATTTAAAAAATAAAATTATTATAAAAAATCATTTCCATGTGTTATAATAAACTATAAAAATAATTTTCTTTTTTTCAATGTTTATTTTTGAGAGAAAGCGTGAGTGGGGGAGGGGCAGAGAGAAAGGGAGACACAGAATCCGAAGCAGGCTCCAAGCTGTCAGCACAGAGCCTGACGTGGGGCTTGAACTGGCCAAACGCAAGATCATGACTTGAGCTGAAGTTGGATGCCTAACCAACTGAGCCCCCAGGCACCCCAAAAATAATTTTCAATGTAGAAAATTATTCCATTGTATATTTGATATTTATCATTTCACTTACTAATTAATCATTTCACAATTTTAGATCATTTATATGGCTTCAGATAAAAAATATTGTGAATAAAACTGAGAAGAACATCTTTGGGCATACATTTCCCCCCCTTTCTATGTTGGATTATTCCATTTGTATGAGCAATAATACCTACTTTTATGAACAACAGAAGTTACTGAGCTAATGTTTCTCAGAACTTTGGAGGACATTTTATATTAAATATAGGTATAATTTGGTGTTGGTTATACTTTCTAAATGGTATTACATCTGGGGCGCCTGGGTGGCTCAGTCAGTTAGTGTCCGACTTTGGCTCAGGTCATATCTCATGGTCCATGAGTTTGAGCCCCACATCGGGCTCTGGGCTGACAGCTCAGATTCTGTGTCTCCCTCTCTCTCTTCCCCTCCCCTGCTTGTGCTCTGTCTCTCTATTAAAATAAAAATAAAAAATTAAAAAAAATGGTATCATATCTGACCCTGGAAGACATCTTCAAATTCTTCCTTTCGTTTATAGCTAGTTTCTGTCTCCAAGTTGATTTACTATTTTGTTTTCATGGTTTGGCAGCAATTGATATATTTATTTCTGCTCTGGGATTTTGGCAGAAGCTTTCTGTGAATCTCAGAATCATGACAATCAATTTATACTCTGCCATGCAAGACCATGATCACTTCCCTGAATCTGAACAACTTGGTAAATTTTGGGGAGCTTCAAGAATGTATTTTCTGGAAACCCTGTTGGAAATCATGATTAGGCTCTTTTTAACGAGTTCTTCTAACATCGTAAACTTAAACATTTATAATTTTCTGGAATGCGCTTATGCCTTTTATTTAATAAATGCTTTCCTGTCAGAGTCTGAAGTGAAATGAAACAAAGTATTAGGAAAAGATAATGGCACAGCTTTCTCTTCCTTTGCACATATGGCCCAGCAGGTGTGTATGGCTTATCAGGGAACTGAAAAATTGGGCTAAATGGACACATTTCTGGAGTGTGAACTGCACAGCAGGTGATCTCTGAAGCAGACAGCCAGCAGAGTGGCCTTTTTACTCCAGATCTCTCCCCTGTATGGCTAGGAAAAAAAAGAGAGAAACCTAAACACTGAATACAGCAAATGGATTTCTGAACCACGTGTCTCTTGCAGCAGGTATCTATTATTAAAGTGGATTAGAAAAACTAACCTATGAAGATCTTTGTCATTGAATTCCTTTGCAATTTATTTCCTAGGGATTTACCTTCACTTAGTTGTGGTTTTACTGATGATAAGGAAATGTACACACTGGCATTATTATGCAGCTTAGTAGGTTAAAGTTGCAGATGCGGGGCACCTGGGTAGCTCAGTCAGGTAAGTGTCTGACTCTTGATTTTGGCTCAGGTCATGATCCCACAGCTCATAAGATCAAGCCCCACGTTGGGCTCTGTGCTGATAGTGCAGAGGCTGCTTGGGATTCTTTCTCTCCCTCTCTTCCTTGCCCTCCCACCCCTCAAAATAAATACATAAACGTTAAAAAAAGTTGCAGTTGCTGGTTGAACAGACCAAATTTAAATGAGCCGGGTTATGGCCCAAGTGGACAGATCTTGGAAGATACCTGACCAGAAGGACCTTCATTAGAGAGTGAGTCGATTGAAGAGAGCTGTCATGGATGGGTGTGGGTAGTGACTGGGAATGGTCTGATGATTTGGATCTTCAGTCAGGATACTTGGCTAATGTTATTTCCTAGGACTGTTGGTAGAGGGTGGATAGAATCATGGGGATTGTGCAACAGCAGGCTGGGTCCACAGGGAAAGGGTCCAAAAAGAATAAACAAGAGGCATAATGAGAGAAAAGTGCAGGAAATTAGAAAAATCAATGTTATGGCCCAAGCCCAGAACACGAACTAGGTTCTTTTCTCATATAGTTTTGTGTTTCTCTTTGGGAGAGTGAAATAGGGAAGGAGAAACCCAAACTGAGCTGTTTCACTGTAGTTTGAGACATTTGGTGGATCATATAAATCTCTTAAGTTGAAGGAGCATCATCTCTGCATTCAATTTTGATAAGCTAAATAGACCATACCACTTAATGATTTTGCTGTATGTTTATGATGTTACCCAGTTAAAGCAGAGCTGACTCAATTAAGACAAAACAAAACAAAAAACCCTCCTCTCTCCCCACTCTATCAAGGATCAACTCAATTCTTTTGAGCTTATGTCTCATAATGAGGGAAGATAATGAAGAAACTAATAGATTGGAGGCTCCTTCTAGAGGTCTGCCAAGAAGGGCGAAGACTAAGCTAGAAATAAGTTATCAGAATCAGGCTGACGTAGAAGTGGTGTTGTAGAAGTCTGATTATGGTTGCTGTGCTTTGGCGTCTTTGATAGAAATCTGTGGGTGGGTTAGCCACGCTCAGTCCAGGCATGTTGATGAAGCCACCTTCTCTTACTATAATCTCTTGCCCAATTTTGGCTTCTTAGATTATGGTCAAACTCTGAATTTTACAATGGTGAGCTCCTCACAGAGAGTTGGGACAGTACACACTCTATCATGATGACCTTGGAGGAATATATTTAGAAAACAAATATTACAGAAGGACGCCTTTTGCTAAGTAGGGGTGAAGAAGGTGATAGAACTACAGGGGTGGCTGAAGGATCACAGACCTCCAATTGTCCTGGTAGCATGGTGTGTTTGTCTGTATTACCACCACTTTGCCTGTGCTGTCAACCTGCCATCATAAAGGCAAATCATGACATGAAATTGAATTAAAATTTAAGAAAGGAGTCGGGCACCTGGGTAGTTCAGTTGGTTAAGCAGTTTCAGTTCAGGTTATTATCTCACAGTTTGTGGGTTTGAGCCCCGAGTAGGGCTCTATGCTGATAGTTGCGGAGCCTGCTTGGGATTCTCTCTGTCCCTCTCCTTCTGCCCCTCCCACTGCTTGCTTTCTATCTCTGTCTCTCAAAAGAATAAATAAATAAACATTTTTTAAATAAAGAAAGGAGAAGAGAAAAATTCGATTGAATTTTCCACAAAATGCAAAACAAGTAAGGATTATATTAAAAACGAGATAAAAGATTGTACAAACCTAAATAAAGGACAACCTAAAAGAAATAAGCATGAAGTTTTTTATAGTGTTTATTGAATTTTAAAACAAAGTAATAATAAAAGTTAAAGAGCATGACAAAATTACAATCTTTTTTAAATTTTTTAAATGTTTTTATTTATTTTGAGACAGAGAGATACAGAGCATGAGCAGGGGAGGGGCAGAGAGAGAGGAAGACACAGAATCCAAAGCAGGCTCCAGGCTCTGAGCTGTCAGCACAGAGCCTGACGTGGTGCTCAAACTCACAAACCATGAGATCATGACCTGAGCTGAAGTTGGACACTTAACCGACTGAGCCACCCAGGTGCCCCCAAAATTATGATATTTTTAAATAATGGTAAATAAAAAGTAACGATGAGACAGAGGCTGATTAGCAGAGAAACAAAAATGATTAAACATAAAAATGTATGATTTAAAATAAAAGCTGAAAAAGACAAAGGTAAAAGCAGGATGAAGGGAGATGAGGAAGGTGAATAACAAACATGCACCAGGAAAAATAAATTTAGCATAACTGAGTAACAAGCTAAAGCCATGCTGAGCTGCAGAGAAGAGATGTTTTTGTCAAAAGACAAAATAAAACCTGGAGAAAATGAGACAAGATATTAACTGACCCACCAGTGGAAGCCAGCAAGTGGCAGAGTCTTAGCAGAATTCTCTGAGTTGGAAACAATTTTCCATACCGTGAGGCCCCATTTAATAGAGTGGCTAATGGGTGAAGAACAGAGAGAGAGAGGAACGGGCACTCATACTCCTGCCCTTTAGCACACCTTGGGCACCAGCGCCCACGTCAGTGTTGCTCAGCAATTAGGAGTGCTGGGCAGGGCCCCGGGGACCGGCAGCCTCAGCCCTGTGTGTGGGCTCCTGGGCTCTGCACCCCCCACTGCAAATTTAGGTGAAGCAGCTGTAGTTAATCCTTGATTATCCATCAGTTATGGAAGAAAGCATAGCATATGTAATTTAAAATGATTTTTATTTGACCCCTTGGATGTGCGGTTTTTAATTAAAAACAAAAACAAAAAAACAGAAACAAAACCAAAAAACCCAACTCATCTCATCCCACATCTCTTCCCTTCCCTCTCCCTAGAGGTCACTGCTGCTAACACTTTTCTGTTTCATTCTTGATGTTTCTCTCTGGATTTAAGACACTTACATGGATAGTTGTATAGGACTTTGGACATAAACGATAATCATACCTAACTTTTAAATGTTTACAGTATGTTAAGAACTAGAGCTGTATTATACCATGCCATGGTCTTTACTCATTTAATCCCTGCAGCGTTATTTTGATTTTGCAGATGTGGAAATTGAGGCCAGTGAGATGAAATAACTTATCCAAGGCCACCCAGCAAGTGAAGAGTGGAATGAGGATGTGCACTTAGAATCCCTGCTCTAAGGTATTATGATTTTCTGCTTTACTAATTGGGAGGGATCATCTTGTGCCAGTTTTATAGAACTTGTTTTTTTCCTTCAGCAATATATCATGGTGTTCTTTCCATGTGAGTATATAGGGATCTACTTCATTCTCTAAATTGCCATAGAGTATTCGGCATATATCAAAACTTAACTAATTATCCCCATTTATGAGCATTTAGGTAGTTTCTAATTTTGAGTACTGGGCACATTTATTCTTTTCAATAGATGTTTATTGAGTACCTACTACATGCCAGGAATTCTTCTTGGTGCCAGGGAATCAACGGTAAACAAAACAAAGGTCTTGCTGCCATGGATTTATTTTCTAGTGGGGAAACAGACAGTAATCAAATAACTATATGACCTATATCAAACCATGTAAATCTGTCAGCTCATAAGGACAGTGAAGTGGAATAGACAGAATAAAGGGATATATAGTAGGAGGGTGTCATTTTATACAAGGTGGTTAATGACCTATTTTTTCTCATTTAAGAAAAACTTTGAGTTTTGAGATAATTACAGACTCACCGGAAGTTGCAAAGTAGTACAAATAATACCTTACCCAGATTTCTCCATGGTAATGTCTTGCATGAGTATAGTGTCATATCAAAATGAAGAAAATGATAGTGGTGTAGTCTATAGGCCTCATTCAAATTCTCCCAGTTTTTACGTGTACTCACTGTGTGGGTGTATGTGTGTACAGTTCTGTGCAGTTTTATTACATGTATAGATTCAGGTAACCAGTTATCTACTTTCAAGTTGCCATTTGAATGAAGCCTAAAGGATGCGGGGATGCTAGGCCAGGGCATATCTGAATGCAGAGTACTTTAGGCAGGATGTACAAAGGCCCTGAGATAGGTGGGAAGCAAGTGTGGCTAAAGACGAGTTTTGACAGGGGATGATCAGAAGGGAAATGGGCTGGAGGAGAGAACTCAAACCATCCAGGTCTTTTAGGCCATGATGAAGACTGGTTTTTTACTCCGAGTGACATGTGTAGCTGTTGGAATGTTTTGAGTAGAGGAGTTATAGAATCAGACTTCTGTTTTAATTGGATCACTCTGGCTGCAGTGTGGAAGCCAGTAGACCAGTTAGGGGTGCGAATCTATGATTATTCATAGTCAATTTCTCCCTTTTCTTCCATAAACAAGGATTATACATTCCTACTTTCTTGCTATTTGGTATGCAATGCTGCCCTACGGAAGTATCTCTGTGTCCCTTCTCCCCACCATTACCCATCCACCCAGTTGTCAAGCTGGATCATACAACTGGCTTTGGTTTAGTGGAATGTGTGCAGACATGAACTACTAAAGCCCTTAAATCAGATTGCATGGTTCATTTCAGCCCTTTGGTTCTTCTCCCTGCAATGAGAGAATCAGCTGGGTTCTTGGAATGAAAAGACCTGTGAAGAGCCACAACCCATAGCAAATTTTCAGCCCTTATATAACCACATATAACCACAAGTGTGAGAAATACACATTTGATACTGTAATCTATGAAGATATTGGGGTGGTTTGTTATTACAGCAAAGCTGACTGATAATAGACGTATATTGCAATAGGCCAGATAGTGGCGGTGTGGACTAAAGTGATAGCAATATATGTACAAACACATGAATTAGGATTTCTGTGGTGTAATTGCTGGGTTGAAGGGCATGTGCATTACTGTCAGTTTGTCCGTCTGAATGATTGTGTCAGTCTATACACCTACTGATTGTGCAAGATAATGCTTATTTCCTTACATCTTAGCAAACAGTGGATATCTATATTTTTCTTTTTTTAATATTTATTTTGAGAGAGTACATGCATGTGGTGGGGGGAGGGGCAGAGAGCGAGAGAGAGGGAGAATCCCAAGCAGGCTCTGCACTGTCAGTGCAGAGCCTGACACGGGGCTTGAACTCACAAACCACGAGATCATGACCTGAGTGGAAATGAAGAGTTGGACACTTAACCAACTAAGCCACCAAGTGCCCCTCTTTTTCCTTTTTTTTAAGAATCTGATAGCTAAATATGTTATTTCACTATATTTCACTATAGCATTTCCTTGATTACTAGAGAGATTGCACGTCTTTGCATATTTCTTTTTATTTCTTCTTTGGTAGCTAAATTAGGTTATCTAATCCCAACCTACTAATTCCAGCTCTTTTCCCATTTCTGCCGTTGTTCCCCAGTTTGATAATGTATATAACTGAATGGCTGTGTGCCAGGAAGAGCCCTAAATCTTTCACATATATTGCCCAGTTTAACTCTCACAATAATTTTTTGAGATAGGTGTCATGACAATAGATAGTATTACCTCTTATGCAGGAGGGAGCTGGGGCCTGGAGCTATAATGTGACTTGATAAGAGCCGTACAGCTTGTGTTACAGTGGGACTTGAACCCAGCTCTACTCAAGACTCCAGCATTTTTTCCAGTTTTCACATGGCCCCTGGGCATTAGCTCCTCCTGGACTATTTATGGTTCCCTGAACAGGTTTTGCTCTCCCTGACTCTCCTTTATTGTGCGGATGACTTATGTGTCGTCCAGATTCTTTCCAGTTCCCCTCATCTTTACAGATCTTACATATTTCTTTCCTGATCATTCAATTCTATCAGGAATTTGGCAACTGAAAAATGTTTTCAGGAAGACTATGTACTTGGGAATGTCCCGAAGGCCATTAGCTCCCTCACCTAGCACAGTGCAAGGCACCTCATAGGCAGACGGTATTTGCTGAATTGCCTTGAACACAACCCTTTTCATATTATTTTATGCAGATTTTTAGTCATTTAGTGTGTTTTAAAAATTTTGGTTTCTGTTTTATTCACCTTTTCTAATTTTTTTTTTTTTTTTTTTAACAACCAGTGGCAGCACCCTTCCTCACCATGTTGTGGTTTGCCGATTGGATAAGGAAGACTTCCAAGGCCCCTTCTGTGGCCTCTCCTGTCCACAGTCTGCACCTGTCCTCTCAATGTAAGGAAGGGCACTTGCAATGAGACAGAGTGGGTGAGATACCTAAAATAGAACACAGGGAAATACATGCAACACTGAAAAACCTTCCTTGTCCTATTGCTGATGCATACCACTGCATATACCTTTCTAACGTGTCCTCTTCCCATATTGTAAAGTGCAAAGACATTCTTGTCACAAAAGGTTAATAACATATTATAGACTTAAAATAGTTTCCTTTGCCTCTCTCCTGTTGAGTCATTGAAAAAAACATGTTTCATTCCTCCTACAAGTTTAGTTGAAAATGGGCAAACAATAGGCTTAATTTTTTCTCCTGTGGGAGTGTGTCTGCAGCAAATTCATATTGCTTCCCCATTCAGTGGCAGTAGGACTGATTCCTCCCTCCCTCATTTCTTTGTGGTGTCTACATTGTCTCTGAAAATATGTGTTCCAACTTCATTTTCCAGTGTGGTGAAACAAAGAAGTGTGTCTAACACAAAGTGAACAGGAAATAAGAAAGTGTTTTTATGCACAGAGAATGCAACTGCTGTCCAAAGTCAGTTAATTAAAAAACATCAATCTATGCAAACATGAAGAAATGGTCCAGCGGGAAATTGGACCAATTTGGAATTTGGTAAAGTCTACTTATTTTCAACGTGTCTCTAAATTTGGGGAAAACATCTTGGTTGAATGTTTACATAATCATGTGATGGGATATTTCTTTAAAAATATTGTCATTATCCCCAAGCTAAGTATTTATTCTTTTGTTTAGAATTTACATAAGGTAGTAACCTATGCTTTGGAAATCACACTAGAGGGGCTCCAATTCTTTTCTGCATCTAAACTCAATATGGATGAATCTTGGATTACTATGGTATTTTACTTTTCGGATTAACATGGTGAAAAAGAATTTAATAGCAAAGAGCAAAGGTAAGCTCTAAGAGAATTTGGGTGTTTGGATCTGGTTGCTTCTTTTTAAAAAGAATTAATATTAATTGCAAATCCTTTGGTGATCAGAAGTACAAGGGAAATGTAATCACATTGTTGGTACATGGTTCTCACTAGTGTGAGTCAAATAATGTTCTCACAAACAATGGCAGTTTATTTATCTAACCTCATTGTTCCTTATAATGACTTTTTGGGATAATTAAGGCAGATTCCATTAATCCCATAAATGTTTTTAGGAAAAACCTTTCTAAAATATATGGCAAACTTTCTTTTTGTTAAACTTATTGAAACTAGATGAAACTTCCTAATAGTTAAGAGAAATCTCATAAGCATTCATTATTCTGTGGTGCTGCAGAGTCAAGAGCGCTAAAGATACAACAATAACAATCATCTTCATAGTAGTTACCATGTGTGATCATATAGGATATTGTGTGCAGGAACATTTCTGAGTGCTTTTTTCATATTAACTCATCCCATTCTTATTAGAACACTATGAAGTAAGAACCAGTATCGTTCTCATGTTGTAGATGAGTTAACTGAGACAGGGGCACAGGAAAGTTCAGTAATTGGCCTAAGGTGGCTCTGCTCACAGTGGGTAGAGCCAGGATTCACGTTCAGGAAGTCTGTCCCCAGAGCCTAGCCCCTCCGGCTTTATGGTCCCTAAAATAAGCATGAGTTCAGGCTCACGTTCGAATTTTGGCCCTGCCACTTGGCAGTTGAGTGAGGAGGTTAAGTTTGCCTAACTTTTCCAAGTTCTAATTTCCTTATCTTAAAATGAGGATGATAATGGCACTGACATTACACGTTGTTGCAAGGAGAGAATGAAATAGTGCAGGCAAACAGCTTGGCACTTAGGAAGACATCAAGAAGTATTAGCTTTTTGTTGTTGTTGCTCTTTTTATTTCTGGCACCAGAAATCCTAGGTCCACTGTTGACTGTTGTAGTTGATTGTAGGCAATCTACCTCACTTCTCCAAGCCACAGTTTTCCTTCTATAAAATGGGGATCTGTATGTTTAATAAAACAGCTCCATCCAGTTGAAAATATAATACTGTCATTTTGTGATCTGGATAAGAATTTTAAGAAAATATATCTTAAGGTGCCCTCAATATAACTTTGCTACCATGTGATGTTTTCCATTACTTTATTTCCAAATTTATTTACTTACTTTAGTGTTTTAAATTTTGTCAGAACCAACTCATTCATTCCTTCTTATTTCTTTCAAATGCTTGATTGCTTTTGAATGTCTCCTGTGTTTGTCTTTCATTTCTTAGTGCTGGCAGATTTGGTGTATCTGTTGCCATCAGTTGGGGTGGTTTGGCGGGAAAGGTTTCCCCAAGGGAGAAAGCCTTCTCCATCTCTTTTATGGGGAAAGCACATTGGCTTCAGTTACCTGTTTTTGACACATTCATATTGTTGAAATTGATTTTATGGATCTTTCTTGAAACAGTTACAGCTCCTTTGTATATTTTCCTTATGCTTTTGATGCAAACCTATTTCCTCTGGTTCTTTTCTGTGCTCTCATATTGTTGCTATATAGATATGAATGCATACTTTCAAAAGGAAGGTACTACACTGTGCTTGGGTGAATTGTTAGATGTGAGAACAACAAGCTTACATCAGGTTTTAAGCTCCTTCTCTGCCTGTGGTAAAGGCTCCTGAGTTTACGAATCAGTCTTTTTGCTGGTCAGGAGAAATGATGTGGAGGACACTTCCAAGGAAACTGCCATTGTGAAAACAGCCATGTCATAGAAAGAAATCATAAAAAGGGTATGAAGCACAAAATCTACCAATAGATCTTTCATCTCCATGATGTCATTTTCAAGGGCTCTCAGTTTTCAATTCTTTTTAGTTTTTAAAATATGGTAATTATTTTAATCATCTGTTGGCATGTTAATTAGGCATTAAACTTTTTGAATAGGTGATATTTTCATATGGTTCGAAAAAATAATATTTAAAGGGTAACATGGAGAAGTATCACTTTTGCCTGTTTTTGATCACTTCGTTTTTACACATTTGCCTCTTTTATTAGTTTCATACCTTTGAGATATACAAGCAAATATAGATATATATTCTTACTTTATCCCTTTCTTACACAACTTTTTTCTTCTTCTTCCTCTCCTCCTTTTTCTCCTTCTCCCTCTCCCCTCCCTTCGTCCCTTCTCCCTCCTTCCCTTCTCCTCCTCCTCCTCCTTACTCTATAACAATATGTTATTGACATCTTTCTATATCAGTATCTAGAGGTAAGTGGATATACTGTGTATGTAACTGGTCTTGCATAGATACACATTTGGGTTATTTTATTTTTATTTTTTATTTTTTTTTTGCTGCTACAAATAATGCTATGGTGAATAACATTGTATGTATGTCAACTAGCACATGGGAAGTTTATCATGGATAAGTTCCTAGAATTGAGATTGCTAGGTGAGGGGAAAATGAATTTGGACGTTTTAGTTATGGCCAAATGGCTCTCCACAGGACATGGTACCTGCCAGTCAGCAAAGTAGGAGGTGTCTTTTTGCCCCCAGCTTTGCCAGCAGAATATGTTATCAATTGCTAGGCTTCTGAGAAATGGCATATTGTACTTTTAACTTGAATTTGGTTTATTGCAAGTGATATCAGGCATTTTGCACAGGTTTAAGGGTGTTGGTCTCTTTTCCCACAATCCCTAGGAGTTTTTTGTTTTTTTTTTTTACATATTAAGGGAAATTAGGCTTTTGTTTATGGTGTGAGTCACAATTTTTTTTTGGCCATTTTATTATTTATTTTTTGGCATTGCAAAGTATCTAGTAGAAATAAAAATAAATTGATGTAATAAATTTGTCAATCTTTTTTTTAATGGTTTTTGGACTTCAATCTGCTCAGAAATGTCTTTCTCTGTCCAAAGTTATAGAGGAACTTGTCAGTGTTTTCTTCTACTAATTTTATAGTTTCATTTTTTTATATTTAAATTTCTGATTCCTTTGGAACCAACATTACCATTTTTCCAGAATATGATTCATTGTCACAGCACCATGTATTTTATTATTATTTATTTTTCATTTTTGAAAACATTTTAATTCTCAGTGTAATTAACATACAGTGTTATATTAATTTCAGGTTACAATATAGTGATTCAACAATTCTGTATTAGACAGTGCTCATCTTGGTAAGTGTATTCTTAATCCTCTTTATGTGTTTTACCCCTCCACACCCAGTACCATCTGTTTGTTCTCTAAAGTTAGTCTGTTTTTAGTTTTTCTCTTTTTTTCTTTGCTCATTTGTTTTGTTTCTTAAATTCCACATATGAGTGAAATCATATGGCATTTGTCTTTCTCTGACTTATTTCACTTACCATTATACTGTCTAGATCTATCCAAGTTGTTGCAAATGGCAAGATTTAATTCTTTTTTTCTTTTTATAGCTGACTCATATCCATTGTATATATAGACCACTTTTTCTTTATCCATTCATTTATGGATTGGTATGGGCTATTTCCATAATTTAGCTAATGTAAATAATGCAGCAATAAACATAGGGATACATGTATCCCTTTGAATTAGTGTGTTTGTATTTTTTGGAAAATTGCCAGTAGTGCGGTTACTGGAGGATCATAGGGTTGTTTCATTTTTTTAACTTTTTGAGGAAACTTTATACTGTTTTCCACAATGGCCAACCAGTTTGCCTTCCCACTGATAGTGCATGAGGGGTCCTTTTTCTCCACAGCCTTGCCAACACTTGTTTCTTGTGTTTTTGATTTTAGCCATTCTGACAACTGACAAATATCACATGATATTGTGGTTTTGATGTGCATTTCTCAGATGATGAATGATGTTGAATATCTTTTCATGTGTCTATTGGCCATCTGTATCTCATCTTTAGAGAAACGTCTATTCGTGTCTTCTGTCCATTTTTAATTGGATTTTGTTTTTTGGGTGTTGAGTTGGATACTCACCCTATATCAGATACATCATTTGCAAATATCTTCATTCAGTAGGTTGCCTTTTAGTTTTATTCATTGTTTCCTTCATTGCCATGGCCAATGTCAGAGAAATTACTGCCTGTGCTCTTTTGTAGGATTTTTATGGTTTTAGGTCTCACTTTTAGGTCTTTAATCCATTTTGAGTTTATTTTTGTGTAAGGAAGTGGTCCGGTTTCATTCTTTTGCATGATGCTAGCCAGTTTTCTCAACATCATTTGTTGAAAAGACTGTCTTTTCCCATTGGATATTCTTCCTGCTTTGTCAAAGAATAATTGACTATATAATTATGGACTTATTTCTAGGTTCTTTATTCCGTTACATAGATCTGTGTATCTTTTTGTGCCAGTACATACTGTTCTGATTACTGTAGCTTTGTAGTATATCTTGAAATCTGTGATTGTGATATTTCCAGTTTTTCTGTTCTTTTTCAAGAGTGCTTTGGCTATTTGGGGTCTTTTGTGGTTCCATACAAATTTTAGGATTATTTGTTCTAGCTCTGTGAAAAATGCTATTGACATTTTGATAGGGATTACATTAAATATGTGGATTGCTTTGGGTAGTATAGACATTAAAAAATTTTTTTTTATATTTTTAGGTTTTTTTTAAAGTTATCTTTTAATTTATTTTGAGAAAGAGACAGAGAGAATGAGTGGGGGAGGGGCAAAGGGAGAGGGGGAGAGAAAACCTGAAGCAGGCCCTGCACTGACAGCAGCGAGCCCAAAGTGGGGCTCCAACTCATGAAACTCGAAATCATGGCCTGAGTTGAAGTCAGATGCTTAACTGACTGAGCCACCCAGCTACCCCAAGACACTTTTTTTAAGTTTATTTCCTTATCTTGAGGGAGATAGAGTGAGGGAATGTGAGTGGGGGAAGGGCAGAGAGAGAGGGAGAGAGAGTCTCAATGCAGGACTTGAACTCATGAACCATGAGATCATGACCTGAGCCAAAATCAAGAGTCGGACACTTAACCAACTGAGCCACCCAGGCGCTCAGGTAGTTTGGACATTTTAACAATATTTGTTCTTCCAATTCATGAGCATGGAACTTTGTTCCATTTGTTTGTGAAATCAATTTCACAGTAAAATGAAATCAACAGTAAAATGTTGTTTTATAGTTTTTGGAGTATAGGTCTCTCACTTCCTTGGTTAAGTTTATTTCTAGGTATTTTATTATTTTTGATGTAATTGTAAATGGGATTGCTTTTTATACATTATTATTAGTGTATAGAAATGCAAAGAATTTCTGTACATTGATTTTGTATCCTGTGACTTTACTGAATTCATTTATCCGTTTTAGTAGTTTTTTGGTGGTCTTTAGGCTTTTCTGTATATAGTGTCATGTCATCTGCAAATAGTGAAAGTTTTACCTCTTTTGTATCAATTTGGATGACTTTTATTTATTTAGTTTTTTGTTGTCTGATTGCTGGGGCTAGTACTTCTAGTACTATGTTGAATGAAAGTGGTGAGCATGGATATCCTTGTCTTTTTCCTGATCTTAGGGGAAATGCTCCCTGTTTTTCACCATTGAGTATGATGTTAGTTGGGTTTTTCATATATGGCCTTTATTATGTTGAAGTATGTTCC